CTGTGGAGCCCAGGCTGGCCTCAAACATATGACAATCCTCCTGCTTCAGCCTTCCAAGTGCTGACCTCACAGGCATGCGCCACCACGCCTAGGTGGGTCTTGTAAGAGCTACACCTTCAAGACCTCTTTCAGGAAAGAGTTCAAGTCATCACATTACGGTGATCCGTGAGTGCCCACGTTTACAGCAGCACAACTCACAATAGCTAAACCTTGGAAGCTGCCTATATGCGCACCAAGGGATGAATGGATAAAGAAAACGTGGTGTTTACACATCACGGAGCGCTACTCCGCCATAAAGAAGGGACAACTTGAGTCACTGTGGGAAAATGCATGCACCTTGAAGTCCTGACGTTCCGTGAAGTAAATCAGACACACAAGCGTAAACAGCACGTGGTTTCTCCTACAGGAAAAAACACAGAGTATCAATAAAGAGCAAAATAAAGGATAGATCCTAGGAAGTAGGGACGTAGATCTTTGTCAAACGCAAAGGCGATCAAGAGAGAGGGGAGAAGCGGAGGGGCGGGAGGAGAAGGAGATGAACCGGCTTTGGGACGCGCACTCCCCACGCGGAAAGGAATCACAGCGCCCTGCACACACGGACTAATACAGAGCAAGGAGCGCGGGATGCAGCTCAGCGGCAGAAGAACCTGCCTGGCAAGCGCAAGGTCCTCGGTTCGATACCCGGTACAAAAAAAAAAAAAAAAAAGAGAGAGAGAAAATAATAACAATAAAGAACTGGAAAAAACAGAACTCCTGCAGGAAGTAAGAAGTCCACATCTCCGGTGATGCTGAAGCCCTGTACTTCTCCGCGCGCCTTTCCTTCAGAGTCCCGCAGCCGCTGAGGGCCGCGTTTGTGCGACCCGGCGCGGTCCTGCCCTGCCCGCTCCGCAGCTGCGGAGACGCGGGAGAAGCGAGGAGGAGAGCGCGGCGGCTCCCTCGGCCCCGAGCTCCAGCCGAGGGACTATAAGACCGCACCTCGGCCCCTCCGATGCTGATCTGGCGGCTCTTGCTTAAGCCTCTTTCCTGGGCCCTTATCGGCCCCCACGCTCACTAGCTGCTTCCTGCCTGGGCTGAGGCTGGTGACTGCCAAGGGGGTACAACGGCAGACGTGGACAGCGCCAGGCCCACTCAGCCCTTGGGACAGCGCACGGTGAGTAACCCAGGTCCTGATCCATCCCGCAATTGTTTTATTGAGCACCTACTATGTACCAGAGGCTGGTGGGTGAGCTGGCTACCGGCCTCACCAGTATGGAGCTAAGAGACTAGCGGGGGAGAAGGAGGTGAGTAGCCTAACCCAACAGCAGGGTCCTGTCCTGCCTGCCCTAGGGCAGGGTCAGCTGCAGTCCCGAGGCCGGGGAAAACTGTCCGGGAGAAAGTGAAACTGGCACTGAGATATCAAGAAGGAGTTTATACCGGTGTGTAGTACACCTGCAATCTCAGTGCTCGGGAGGCTGAGGCAGGAGGATAGCTGTGAGTTAAAGGCCAGCCTGAACTACACAGAGAGTCTCTGTCTCAAAATAAATAAATAAATAAAAATAAATAAAGGGTTAAAAACAAAAGGCAGAGGGAGAGAAGGGTGTTCAGGGCAGAGGAGGCAGCAGGTGCAAAGGCTCTGTGGCCAGAGGGATTGAGACAGGGAAGTTCGAATGGGCTGTGCCCAGGGTGAGGAGGGAGAAGAGCACTCTGGAAGGGTCTGCAAGGGCCTCAAAGTAGAGGAGGCTTGCTTTTATCCCTGGCTGTTCCTTGAATATACCTCAGGACCTTTGCACAAGCCACTACTTCTGTCCACTATGCCCTTTCTCCACATATTTATACAGCTAACTTCCTCACTGTCTGTATTTTTTTTCTTGTTAGTTTGCATGTTTGTTTGTTGAGACAGGGCCTCACTGTGTAGTTCAGCCAGTCCTTGAAATCACTTTGTAGCCCAGGCTGGCCTCTAGCTCATGGTGATCCTCCTGCCTGAGCCTCCCGAGTGCTGGGATTACAGGCGTGTGCCACCACCCCCAGCTCCTCACTGCCTTTAAATCTTTGTTCAGGCTGGGCTTGAGCTCACTTTGTAGCCCAGGCTGGCCTCAAACTTGCAGCAACCTTCCTGCCTCAGCATCCCGAGTGCTGGGATTACAGGCTTGTGCCCCCACACCCAGCCTAAAATGATGCATTCTTAACATGGTCCCCTGGCCATCTATCTATATAGCAATTGTACATATGTAAGGGGCACCCCGTAATGTTGCAGTGAATATATACACCGGTTGTGATCAAATCTGGGTAACTGGCATAACTACTCCCTCAAACGTGTCCATTTCTCTGGGGTGGGAGCATTCAAAAACCTCCTGACTAGCAGGTTAGAAATAATATACAATTAATTGTGGGCAGCCAGAGATTCCTACTGTGCTACAAAGAGCATTACAGGTTACCCCTCCTACCCACCTGTACCCGTTCGCTACCCCTTTCTGTCCTCTGCACCCTTCCCGGGCTCTGCTAATGTTTGTTGTTCTCTCTGCTTCCATGACACTGACTTCTACCTTCCACATGTCAGTGAGGGACGTGTCTTTCTGTGCCTGATGTACTGCACTTCATTTAAAGTTCCTCAGTTCTCTCCATGTTGCTGCAAATGACAGGATTTCACGCTTTTTCGAGACTAATTTTCCCTTGTGCAGATATACAATGTTGTCTTGATCCTTTTATCTGTCCATGGATCCTGTGCTGATTTCACAGCAGAATAAACAGGCAAATGCAGATGTTTCTTCAGGGTGTTGGCTTCATTGCCTTTGGACAAGGACCCAGTAGCAGGGTTGTTGGATTACCTGGAAGTCCTAGCTCTCGCTTTTTGAGGAGCCTCCATGCTGTTTTTTTTTTTTTTTTTTTTTTGTCTTTTTGAGACAGGGTCTCACTATGCAGTTCAGGCTGGCCTTGAGCTCACTTTGTAGCCCAGGCTGGTCTTGAACTCGCAGTGATCCTCCTGCCTCAGCCTCCCGAGTGCTGGTATTGCAGGCGTGCGCCACCACGCCCGGCTCCTCCATGCTGTTTTCCAGAAGGGCTGCAGTAAGTGACGTTCTCACCAGCAGTGGGTGAAAGTTCCGCTTTCTCTGAATCTGCACCAGCATTTGTCTTTATATTTTTGACAGTGATCACTCTCACCAGGGTGCAATGATGTCTCATTGTGGTTTTGATCAGCATTTCCCTGATGATCAGTGACTGGGTGTTTTTTCACGTACTTGCTGACCATTTGTGTATTTCTTTTGAGAAACGTCTATTTAAACACATTTTTTTTGGAGACAGGATCTCACAGTGTAGCCCAGCCTGGCCTCAGACTCTCAGTGATCCTCCTGCCTCAGCCTCCCGAGTACTAAATTGTGGGCGTGGGCCACTGCACGCAGGTACACACTTTTTTTGTTAATAAAGTACGTTATTGATACTTTTTTTGCTGAGTTCCTTACATATCCTGGGTGTAAATCCTGTATCAGATTAGCAGTTCACCAGCATTTTTTCCCATTCTGTAGCTTTTCTCCTCACTGTTGGTTGTTTCCTTTGCAGGGAAGAAGCCTTTTAGCTGGATGTGATCTTATTTATCAATTTTTGGTTTTGCTGCTTGTGCTTTTGGGGTCATATCCAGAAAATCTTTGTCCGTCCCAATGTCCTGAAAGCACTTCCTCAAGAGGCTCCTCTCTGCCCATTCCTCATATTCCTGATTCTCCATGTATGCATTTAAAAAAATTGCTAGGACCGTCCTTCCTTCCTAAAATTTGTATCACCATCGGTGTCATTTCATTTCAGCCTCCAGAGCTTCCGTTCACATTTCCTCTGGTCTGCCGGGCATAGTGGTACACACGTGGAATTGCAGTACTCAAGAGGCTGAGGCAGGAGGATCGCTGTGAGGTCAAGGCCAGCCTGGGCTACAAAGTAAATTCAAGGCCAGCCTGAACTACACAGCAAGAACCTGTCTCAACAAAACAATACAAAACAAAACTGGGCAACCCCTTCGGGACCGCTCCTATCTCAGGAGCTATTCCTATTCCCCATTTCTTTTCTCCAATAAATTTTCCTACTCTTAAAAAAAAAAAGAAGCCACCAAAACCAAAAGCAAAACAAACAAAACCAAACCAAACACTGTTTCTTGTGGTCTGCAGGCCATAAATTAGCTCAGCTTTGATTTCTCTGAAAATGAAATTCTTTCACCTTCATTCCTTAAAGGGTAGTTTCACAGGTTATAAAATTCCACATTGACTTTGTTCTTCCTATAGCAGCTTGGAAATCCTCTTCTGCCATTTCCTGCATCCCCTGCTCTGTGATGCCAGCCCATATGTGTGCGGTCATTGTCCTGTCTCTAACGGGTCATCTTCCCAGGGTGGCCTTGTCTTTGGATTTCAGCAGTTTTACTGTGATGTGATTTGTGAGTGATTTTCTCCTATTTATCTTGCTGGAAGTTTATGGAAATTCTTGGATTTGTAAGTTGATGTCTTTCACTAAATTTAATACATTTGGGGCCTTTATTTCTGTAACTATTTTTCTGTCTCATTTTCTCTTTCTTTCCTGCTGAAATTCTAACCACTATAAGACGGACTGACTTCTATTGCCCTCATAGGTCTCTGAGGATGTATTCACTGTCCTTTATGTTTTTCTTTGTCCTTAAGATGGGAGAATGTCTATTAATCTACAGTATATCTTCAAGTTCATTGACTTCATTTCCAATCTGTGAAACTCATCCAGTGAAATTTCGGTTGTATTTTCCAGCTCTAGAATTTCTGTTGGCACACTTGGCTTCCTTTTCATACTTTTCCGTAGCGTGGAAACTCTCCAGATAGTGGACCCTGGGTTACTTATGCTGTGTACACGTCTGCCCCTGTCACCCGGCTGTGGGTTCCGTGGGGATTTGCTGCGTTAGATTGATCTCCAGTCGCAGATCAGACCGGAGATGGCTGGAGTCTTGGAGGGGATCCCGGGCCCTGGTGAGAAGCAGCCTGTGGCTCTGAGGTGCGATCATCCATCCCTGTTCTAGGAAGATGGATGCTTCCGAGTGCCAGCCGGAGAACGTGTGGCAGCTGTACCCACTGACCATAGCCATCCTGTCCGTGTCCTGTGCTGTCGGCGTGCTGGGCAACGGGCTGGTGCTGTGGATGACCTTTTTCCGGATCACCCGCACTGTCACCACCGTCTGGTTCTCCAACCTGGCCCTGGCTGATTTCGTCGTCTTAGCGTCCCTGCCGATCTCCATACACTACGTGGTGCGGGGCGAGTGGCCCTTCAGTGGATGGGCCTGCAAATTCTACATGGCCTTTCTGGCCCTTAACTTCTTCGTCAGCATCTACCTTCTGGTCCTCATCTCTGTGGACCGCTGCATCCTCGTCTTCTACCCCGTCTGGGCCCGGAACCAGCGCACCGTGAGGCGAGCGAGCTGGCTGGCCGCCGCCGTGTGGCTCCTGGCGGCTGCCGCGTGCTTCCCGTACTTGCGGTTCCGGGACATCATGCCCTCGCACGGATGTAACCACTGCTACTTCAATTTCAGCTTAGAGAAAGGGAGAGCCGGGGATACGAATCCAGCGGCTTCGCAGAGACAGATGGAGGTGATCATCCTTCACTTCCTGCTGGGCTTCCTGGTGCCCGTGGCCATCATTGGGACCTGCACCCACCTCATCCGAACCAGGCTCCGACAGAAGGGTTGGGTCCACACCAGCCGGCCGAAGAGGTTGTTGGTGGTGCTGGTGAGCGCTTTCTTTGCCTTCTGGTTTCCATTTAACGCAGCGCTGCTGGTCCAGTTGAAAGTTGTGATGGCTCCTCACGAACCCTTCTTCCCCAAGCAGATGCTCATCCTCTGGGCCACCTTCTCCTTGGGCTGCCTCAACAGCTGTCTCAACCCCTTCCTCTATGTCTTCATCGGCAGAGATTTCCGGGAAAGGTGCTTCCAGTCTTTGTCTTCTACCTTGGCCAAGGCGTTCGGTGACGAGGGTTTCATCAGTCATATTGTCCCTGAGGTGAAGCCCTCAGGGAATGATGGTTCTGGTCAGGTAGAAGTCACAAATGTCCCTTCTTAGTTTGTGACCCTGGCAAGTCCTGCCTCCTCTTGCAGGAGTTCTCCCTAGCAACTCTCCATCAAAAGCTCTGTAGTAAAGGCATCTAGGTTTCCCACCTTCTTTTATAAGAGGACTTCTTAGCCTGGCATGGTGGTGCACTCCTGTAATCCCAGCACTCGGGAGGCTGAGGCAGGAGGATTGTTGCGAGTTGGAGACCAGCCAGGGCTACAAAGTGAGCTCAAGGCCAGCCTGAACTGCATGGCGAGATCCTGTCTTAAAAAGACCAAAAAAAAAAAAAAAAAAAAAAGGATTTTTTTTTTGTCTTAAACTGGCCGTATGGGTAACCAGAAAAAAATGAACAGAAAGGAAGACAAAGGAAAGACTACATTTCCCAATAGCCTTTGCAAGAAAATGCAACCATGTGACTGCTTTCTGGCCAATAAGCTGTGAGTGAAAGTAATTAATGCAACTTCTTTGAAATGCTTTGAGTGAAAGAGGCCTGCCCTCCACTCTGTTATTTGACTAGATAGTGGATGTGTCAGTTTGGTTTTGCTGTGTAAGAAATATCCCCAAAATTCAGAGGCTTAAAATATAACCTTGCATGATTTTTTTATAGGTCTGGAATTTGGGCTGGGCTGAGCTGAATATGTTTCTGGCCTTGGTTGAGGTCCCCCGTGCCCCTGGGGACCACTGAACAGTTGGTTCGGGGAGAGAGGGCTGGCTTTCAGCCGGGAAACTAGCCTTGGCTTTTCACATAGCCGGAGTCTTTTGAGGTAGTAGCTGGGGAGGGTTTTAAGAGTGAGAGGAGAGCGGGCTGGGGATTTAGCTCAGCAGCACAGCGTCTGCCTGGCAAGCGTGAGGTCGTGAGTTCGATTCCCAGTACAAAAAAAAAAAAAAAAAAAAAAAACAGTGAGAGGAGAAGCGCGAGGCAGAGGCTCACAAGCCCAGCCTAGATCCCGGTGTGAGGGACCCGCTCAGTGGGAAAGCCTGCAAAGTGACAGTGCAAAGGGCACCAGCCCTGGACAGTGTGTGAAGCTGGAGCTGCTTCTGTAATGTGCCATAGCAACCATGGCGGCAGGCCAGGCTGGAAGCCACCGTGTCCCCAGGGAGTGGCCTGCCAGCCCTTCGATGCTCACAGCTAGGCCATGAGGCAGGAGGCCGCAAATGCTCACGTGTTGGAGCCACGGTTAGTTTAGGCCTCTGTGGCAGCAGCTGAGTCTGCCTCTGCCTTAACAACCGTGGCATCAACCTCTGGCTTTTGTGTGCTCCATGACTTTACATTTCCTCCTTGTTGAAGCCAGTTGGAGTTGGGTTTTCTGTTACCTGAAGTCGGAAGCAGCTCTTACGGACGCAAGCAGTGAACACTCCTCTCACCGGAGGAGAATCCTCGTGTCCATGTCTCTGTCACAGAGGAACATTCCCTCAGTTCTAGCTAGAGGCACAAAAATGTCACCCAAGCCAGAAACAATTGCATTACTTGCTCCAGTCCATAAAAACACCCTGGACTTGGGCTCAGAATGCCACCCGTCAGCACCTCCATCCCCACAACTTTGCAAGACGACATCAAATGAGCCAGGCGTGGTGG